CTTAATAATAGAACCTATAGGTTATCTTCTACAGCCCTTCCGAACTGAACATTTTCTTAAAATCCTAAACAATTTCATAAGAATCTTGACTTTTTGTGGAGCAATCATGGAACTGAATATTTTTGTGTTTGTCATAGTTGTTTTCTTGTTCTGAGTGTAGCGGTCCTTGGGATTACAATGGATTAAAACAATGACTTTCTGTTTCTTCAGATTTGGAGCAGCCCACAATTTAGTCATCAGAACTAGGTGACAAGGATGTACTTGGATCCTATGGAAACTTCTGTTCAATGATGGATTCAAACTTAAAAGACTAAAGAAGTAAGGGTATTAAATACGTTTTTTTCCAACACAAAATACAATCACTTTTCTTTTCATCATGCTCCTTGGAAAGAATTTAAACTCCTAGTAAAAATGCTTATAATTAACTCTGTTAAGAATGGCAGATTAAAAGCAAGAATATAAATTAATGAACAATTTATACTTCATCATTTTTATCAACTTTTTCCCTTGTGAAGGATCATTTGGGCAAAGCTGAACATCTTACCCCCCTTTTGTGACTAGAAGTTAACAAATATTAATCTCAATTTTCAATATCTACCCACTTTTTGTTCCAGCAGTTCGGTCCCCAGATATATCAAATAAATAATAAGGATATCATCTGCTTTTGAGGGACTACCAACAAGGAATATAAGCACTGAAAAATGAACTGTGAAGTCAAATTCAGTACAGTTATGCTCAGTTTTTAAACAGAAGTTATCACATTAAACTTTCAACTCAATGCACCTAAGGCATTAGAGAAAAGATTAGCATATGTAATTAAGTAGAATTGTGTGTGGATAAACAGTGATACCACTACACATTTTGCATGTGATGGAGAGTTGATTGAGGTAACAAAAAAATCAAAAGAATATGAGTCCCAAAGCATGAAGGTGACTGGAGCCATTCACTGCTTGTTCTTCTCTTGGACTTCCATTTGTTCTCTAGCTTTGTTAATCCCAGATATGGCCTCCAATTTAAAAATTGATTAGATTAAAAGTAAAGGTACAATTGTTATAGGAGATCCCCAGACCTTCCCTTAAGCTTTCTCTCCCAGACAACTCATACTCACCCCTTCTAGAATCCCATGCAAGCTCTTCTTAAATACAATGTCTACGTCCAACCTATGAATCTTTCCTGACCTTTCAACCCTTATGTCAAAATTCAGTATGACTAAAACCAAAATACAACTTTCTCTCATGTCAGCAAATGTTGACTTCACTTTTCTAGCTGTTTATATTAAAATCCAGGAGGTCATTACTAATTCTTTTCTTTTTTGCATATTTAATTCTTTACCTGTCTAAAAGTCTGGTCGCATTTACATTATGAATAATTTACATTATAAACTGAGTTAGCCTGATTTTATAGTCTTCGCTATCACTATCCTGATTCCACACACATTGCAATAGTTTTAAGCTTATGTCTCTTCCTACCACCTTGACCATCTACAGTGTAGATCTCATATATAGTTTTTGGGATTCCCCTCTTATCATCAGTGGTTTTCCATTAGTTTTTTCGGCAAACCCCCAAATGTGATCTACAAGCTCCTCTGTGATCTGGCCCTACAGTCCCATCACCTGTTTCATTACTCTTCTTTCTCTTTAATTTCCAGCTACTTAGACCTTCTTGTGGTCTTTATACTTACAAAACAGCTCCTTCCCCTCAGCACAGAACAATATGCTCACACTGTTCTTTTTTCTGTTACTTTTTAAAAAAAATTTTCATTTAATTTTATTTATACATTCATTTATTACAATTTATTCACTTTGTATCCTGGCTGCAGCCCCCTCCCTTGTCTCCTCTCAATCCCACCCACCCTCCCTCTTGTCCCTCTATGCTCTTTCCCTGGTCCCCTGATGGGGAGGACCTCCTCCCCTTCTATCTGACCCTAGTTTATCAGGTCTCATCAGAACTTGCTGCATCATCTTCCTCTGTGGTCTGGTAAGGCTGCACCCTCAAGAGGAGGTGATCAAAGAGCCAGCCACTACTTTGGAAATCAATCTGGTGCTTCCTCAGAAAATCAGAAATAGTGCTACCTCAAGATCCAGCTATATCACTCCTAGGCATATACCCAAAAGATGTCGCACCATTCAATAAGAACGTTTGCTCAACCGTAGCAGCTCTATTTGTAATAGCCAGACTCTGGAAACAACCTAGATGTTCCTCAGCGGAGGAATGGATACAGAAAGTGTGGTACATTTACACAATGGAATACTACTTAGCAATTAAAAACAAGGAAATCATGAAATTTTCAGGCAAATTGTGGGAACTAGAAAAGATCATCCTGAGTGAGGTAGCTCACACTGTTCTTAATGCCTAGAGACTTCCCTTTCCGCCTACATTACCTTTTCATTTGTTAAAGCTATAAATCAAATCATAGGTAAGTATTTAGATGCTCATTTAAGCTTCAAGTGTATAAACATCTTAATATATTGTAAATACATCAAATATTCAAGTGATGTGAAAGTAAGTAATATACCTGGGGAGCAAACTGAATTCCCAATTTCAATACCGCTCTTTAAGTGTTGAAAGTAAAACACAATAAATCAAAACAGGACCTCAATAAAGAGCATTTACAAAGTCCAAACAATTCTACAGTTTCCGCAAATTCTCTGATTCTCAGAGAAGACATTAAGTGCTGTAAGATGCTAAATCTCTGTATTCAGTTCAACCACACAGTAACAAAGGTATGCTTTTCACTACAGGTCTTTAATAGCCCATCTTATTATTTAGCTATTCTAGAGCACAGTCTAAACTGGTGAATATAAATGCACATATGTACAGAAAAAGACCTAACTATACACACATGCACATATCCATTCAATATGTGGATGAACTATTTAAATGAAATTTTAAGGCAAATCACAGGAAAGTAAAAAAAGTTCTTAAAGCGTACAATAAGACATTTCCAGCTGAGCATGTTTAATGATTTTATCAAATGTTACTCAGTACAATTTAATTTTATTTCCTTTTTTAACACCTTCTCCCCTGAGTGTACAGCTTCCCTTCAGGAAGGACCACCCTTCCCACAGGACCACTTTTCGGAAAGGCTGTAATGAGAAGACAGTGATTGGCACAGGGAACCAATTTCTCCTACCACAAATCTTCAAGGCAGTCGTGCGATCCAGTTGTGTATTAGAAGTACTTCATTCTTGTGTTAGACTTAAGACTGGGGTTAAATAGAAGCAGTCTTGTAAAGAGATAGCGAGGCGCTTCCGGTCTGCAAGCTGTCACACCTGTACGGCAGTCACGTTCACTATAACTCCCAGTACAACAAATTAAGGAACACTAACTTGAGGACCGGCAAGATAGATAGATAGATAGATAGATAGATAGATAGATAGATAGATAGATAGATAGATAGATAGATAGATAGACAGACAGATGTGAAAATCTGAATTGTAAAGAACACAAAACAGAACTACTCAAGGCAAGATCTCAGAACAGAAGATTGAAAGCACAAGTCTCAAATCACCAAGTTTCCTCTCTAACCATGCTACTCACACCATGCATACAAAGAGATCCTTAAATTGTATGCGTGTTTGATTTGAATATTTTTCTTCACAAGCACACAGAAACAAACAAAAAAATCATAAAAAGGGGAGTGGGAAAACAAGTTCTGCATGAACAAAACTTTTACCATAAACAAAAACTTTCACCAGCATGCTTGGAAAAATCTGTGCGTAGAAACCTTACAAATTATCTGGCTCAATATTAGAAAAAAGTTAGAAAGATCAGAAAAGGCATTCTCTTTCTCTTCAAATCTTTGAGTTATTCAAACTCTTGAAGAATCATCTCTTCATCATTACATATGAACCTCTCCAGGAATTCATATTCTTACCAAATTAAAGTAAAAAAAAAAAAAAAAAAAAAAAAACACCTCTTTACCAAATCCCAATTGAATATATTTAGTTAGCATACTTTTGTTGCTTGAAGCCAGATATCATTAAAACAAAACAAAACAACAACAACAAAAAAAAAACACAATGACTTACCTGCGAAACTGCTGCATATTTGGGGGTTTCTTGCAATTAGAGTTAGTAAAGTCCTCTCTCTTGTCCTGTATAATTTCATCCTGTTGCTGTATTCCAAACATTTCTATTTGCGTTGTTAAACCATAACAGTGCACACATCCATGCCCAACACACTTATAAACCATCTTCCTGTGTGGTACTACAGTCTATGAACATGACATCTTTGAGTAGTATCAAGTTCTGTGTGTTTCTATGTCAAGGATCCCCAAGTTTTAATACCATATTCTAGCTGGAAGAGTTTATGCGTGTGGTTTCAATGGCACCAAATAAAAATCAGCCCTTTGTACTGAGAAGCAGTGAAATAGGGGTAACCACATAGATAGTGAGCAGCACAGAGGATTGCAGCATTCCATTACAAGAAAAAGTAACACAGATATCAATGCCATATCACACTAATGCAGATATCAAATGTAAAAGGGGCAGGGAGAGAGTGGCCGGAGACAGTTCCATGGACCACATTTCTTCATCCACAATGTCTCCAAGAGTCATCACTGAAGATTTGTGGTACAAGGATGACTTGGGGTATTTTCTATGGGCATGCTTACGGTAGATGAGGAGGAGGAAAATTAAGGCTCATTTGTTTGTCTTCAACTTAAAAAAAGTCTTTTATACTTTTCAAGAAAAATATATCTTAAGTATCATTCATTTTTTTCTTTATACAAGTTATATAGAGAGGTAGATGATAGACAAATAGATGACAGCTAGAAAGTTGATAGATATGAATGAACAAAAAACAATAATAGCATATTTTATGAAAGATTTGTTCATAGAATCATACCACTGAGATAAGGACACATGTAGAAATACAAACATTTGCATCATAAAGAATATTAGATTTTTTTCAGAACTGTATGTTCATGGATTTAAATCCCACAAATAAAATTTTCTGTCATGGAAAAATGGAGATATTTTGAATACTAAAGTCCTTTATTTAACAACACAGAAATTTCACAAAAACAACTTTACTGGGCAAATTGAAGTGATTTTTAAATTTTTCTTTACAGTTTTGTACATGCCCCATAAGTGATTTTTCCTTAATAAATACACTGTTTTCCAAAACTGCGTTTTTTTTTTTTAATAACTGCACAAGCTTACATACACCTTTACACAAGTATCTATTAGAAAATGCAACCATTAACTGCACAGTTCAGAACAGGAGGACGCTGGGAAAGGAGTACACTTTGTGGCCCTTGTCCTGACATATCTATTTGGCAATTGTGGAACGGAATCCCTCTGAACACAGTAGCTGTGTGTTACTCACTAGGAATACATATCTCAGTGTGAAATGCCAAATTTAATAAAAACAAAATCTGAAACATTTAGCTGTTACATGAGAACCAACTGTTTGATATTGCTGGGAATCTCACCATGATCAAAGACCCACTACAGCTTTCTGCTCAATATATTTGACCCTGAATCGTGCATTCATTTAACTGTGTCCCCTCTTTTCATTCTTTGATTACTGATACTATCAGCTTAAAGGCTTTCTATGCTTTAGCACTAATTGAACAACGTCCGTGCCAGGGGTTCTGACGAGGGATGGAAGAGTCCTTTCCTTTCGTGATTACTTAATATTCACACATAGCAAGTCTATCGTCTCCCCGTGATTGCTTAGAATGAAATTGAGGGTTTGGGGATAGGCAACCAGGAGACTTGTCATGTATGCATACATTAGGGAAGGTGATTACTGTCTATGTCCCATGGATGGATTCAGTACCACTCTGTGAGGGTGCCTCTGCCTGCATGAGGGCAAGAGGAGTCCACCAGAAACTCGCCTGAGTCTGAAGGTCAATAGAGACACAGGTCTGCATTATGATATTCTTCTGGAGTGCTGAAGAACAGCTAAGAGGAGCATTTGCTTAGGACTCTCTGTGCCAATGGCCCACAGATTCTCTCGTGCTCCCTTCAAACACTGCCAGGGCATGGCAGCCACTGAAGACTGGACTCTCGTGTCTGTGGACCTTCTCTACCAGCTTTAGCAACATCTGATATGTCACTTTTGTATGTATACAACCTGAAGTATGATTTCTAAATTTCCTTGATATGGAAAATGAAGCACACAGTGAGCAACTGATAAAAGTTATGTTTCACTGATATTTTGGAATAAATAAAATGCACACCCTCACTGCCCTAAGGCTACAAGTTGTCAGTACACAAATACTTGAGAAAGTAAACTAGAGGAGGTGGGGGATGGATCTAAAAAGGTAATTTCATCATCACCAGTGAGAACCCTACATTTTGTAAATTGAATTTAAGTGAAAACATAAGAAGTGTGTGGCATAAAAGCAATCAGTGTAAATAACAAAAATGAAAGAGAATTAAAAGAAAAGGCCACACTGATTACCATGGTACCAAACAGATTCATTTCATTAAAAATAAATGACACAATACATTTACAATGCACAGATTCATTGTCTTCAAAAAAAAATGAAAACCGAAAATAAACCCCCAATACTTCAAGATATGCAATACCTAACCTTGAGGTTTGGACTGTCAATACATTGCTATGAGGTCCTTATTGTGTGCCTAATACAGTCTGAAAAGAAATTTGCTTCACTTATACTTATTTTTACAAAAGCAAGGAAAGTGTCCCATTCAAGTGTGAAAATAAGTTTTCACATACTCATAGTTATGTGAGTCAAAAATAAGAATAAAGAAAAATATTAAAAAAAAAAAGGAAAGAAACAATGGGACAATAAAGAACTCATACAGGCCATCATTGGCCCTACAGAAGAAACAGAAATTATACCTACAAACCCTCTAAGGGATACACACAGAGTAGAAAGCTATCTCAGAAGTAATATCCAGCACATTTTAGCTTTTGATGATTTCATTCTTTTTTTTCCCCAAACATAGGCGGGTGTAATACATAATGCATTTTCCTCAAGGAGACGACTTGACCATACTGCAGAGTAGGCATTGGTATGCTAGCTGGGCACATTCACGGTATCCCACTGGTACCCCACACTGGCATCATACAGACCTACTATGCTCCAAGTACTCCAATGATGGCACAGTTGACCTTCCTTTACAAAAAGAAATTGTCATTCCACTTCCCATTCAAAACGAAACGAGATCTGAAAAAATGTTTGCCAGCCAGCTTCTGAAGTACCTTTACTCTTTAAAGTCCCCACAGCCTTATCACTGTCTTCCCCTGTTGTTTTCCTTCTGATTCATCTTGCTAACCTGTCTGATAGGCATAAAGAACAAAAATGAAAGTAACACAGCAACTCTTGTTATTCTATGTGTTTTTCCTAAATTAGGTTTTATTTCTAGAACTGATCCTTACCAGTTATTTTTTTAAAAAACTTAATTAAAGTATTTGTCTTAATGGGATAGGCCTCTTTTGAGAAGTATGACTGTCCTAGGAAAACCCAATCTTACAGGGCGAGGCAGCCCGGGTTCTACAAAGGATGCTGTCTTGTTTTATAAAGTTCCGCACACCTCGGCCTTGCTTCACGGAAAGAAAGCTTCCATTGAATGGGAAGGAAGCAATGGGTGTTCGCTGAGGGACTTGCAGAAGAACACTGGACCCAACTGATAAGCTATGGAAAGGAAGATAAAGAAAAAATCCTCACTTTTAATGAGTCTGTAAATTATTCTTAACTTGAAAATATGTCCAGCCACACTTTAAAGTAGGCTTCAGTGCATTTAAATTTTAAACCTACCGATTCAATGTCTTACATGGAATCAAAACATCTGAATACCCTTCTGTTTTTATTTTTCCTATTCCTCCCCAAAGCAAAAACAAAATAACCAAAGAGTCAAAAAAGCTTGGACAGCTTGTGTATGACTAAGGGGGGAAAAAAGTTTCAGGCATGAATTTCTCTTTCTAGGGTCTGATAACTTTAGCCTAGAAAACACTTTTTCAATTAAAAAAAATTATACAACTGATTCTGCATTTTCCAACTATTCTGAGTACTCCCCATACAGTGCAACCCAAACAAGTCAACTACACTAAGTATCTGGGGGGTATACCCTCTGTACAGCTCGTCTGTACGCAATGCAAGTGCATAACCACTACTCTAATATAGTGCTCGAAAGATTAATTGAAACCTTCACAGTAGCTTCCCTTCTTACATTGACACAATTGAAGGTATTTGCTGGATGCAGTATTATCTTTTAGTCTCGTAAAACCGGCCATCAAGTCTCTACAGAAAGACGCGTGAATAATCACCAGTGTTGTTTCTGCTTCTACAAACAACTGGCAAAAATATTTAAAGCTAGAATTTATTGCTCCAGATTTAACTTGCAGAACCATATTGTTGTGCACAAACTGTTAATCTCCATAGCTGCTCAGACATGATTGTCTCCTTGTGTCTAAACACACAAAATACAAGCTGCTATCTGTACAGTTTACAGTACTGAAACACATATATTTGAAAATGAAGTATAGATATGTACTTTGCAAAGATACATGATTTTACAGTCAGGGGTTACCCAAACTTATTATTATTATTATTTTTTTTACAGCCACTTTCAAAATAGACAACAACTTCACTAGTATAGCTAAATACATCGAAGGAAGAATCAGTGTATTGAAAGTAAATAGACTGGCCAATTCTCCAAGCTTCCCTGTTATTTTTATGTGTCTTTTTCTCCTTTTCTTTTCCTCTTGTTTTTTTTTTTTTTGAAGAAATCCCTATACACTAAAATGAAAATAATTTCTGTATATTTTCTTCAATGGTGGACTAAGCGGTTTCTTAAAACAAGACATTAGTTTACCCTCCATTTCCAAATGCCTTGAAAATAAGATACACTACTGCTTTAAAAGAACCATCGGAATGCTTCAGCGCTGGGAACAGGTGTTCTCTATAAAAAAAAAAAAGCAAGAAAACAGGTTAAGCTTTCTTTCTATGTCAATATAAAATCAGATTTTTCTCCTTTACACTTCAGCAACACTTTTAGTCAACTGCACACAGCCAGCGTAATGACATGTACAGCAAGCAACACATGATCAAAAAAATAAAATGGCGATCTTAAAATATGAAAACAGTACTATTCAGTTGAATACCAATTGACTGATTATAATGACTGAAACACATGATATACTTAAAATACAGGAAATACATCCTGGGGTATATGTAGCAATCAGAATAAAAGAAGGTCCGAGGTATTAACCTCATAGAAAGCCAGTGTTAAGTTGAACATGTTTGCGTCTACACATATATGGCACAGTGACATCATGACATGGGAAACATCTTCATTTATATATCTTTCTATTGTAAAACATCATAGCCAGCTAGGTACGCCATCTTCAATGCAACACATATAGGCTTTCATGAAGCCAGTGACTATTACTGAATTATTCTGCCTATTACATTAACAAGCATGTCACCAGGTAGTAACCTGAACTTGTACATACAAAGTTGCAGTACATACATACATACATACATACATACATACATACATACATACATACGCAATCTATGTAAGACTAATATCAGAGCTGAGTGAAGCATACCTTTATGGTGACAAACTGGCATGCTAAATGAATGCTGCCGGCCAGCCAGCCACTTCATATCTGTGTGTATGTACATACATGCTCTTAAGATATATATTAATACACATATTAATATATAGTATAACCATATATTTATATATCTCTTAAGATAATGCTCATATCACATGTATTTCCTAATAGAAAAATTATACTGCAAATTATATAACAAAATGTTCTAATAATTGAAGTTCTCTTTCATTCACTTTTTCATACATAAGTAATTTTGGTTGTCATTCTCTTTTCATAATAATCTTAGTTGAAAATAAAAATCTGTATTAACCTACTACACTACCAGTAAGACTTTAGACTACTCTTTTGAGAATGCCATATCACCCATGTTCATGTGTGTGTGTTACTTTATTTCATGTGCCTTTCTTTGTCTTAGGCCTGGACCTCAAGACTGTATTAAAATTTCCTTATTGTCAAAAAAAAATTAAGTGAATAAAATAACTGTTTTGGATGGCAAATTTCATTTGTACTACTGGCACTAACATTTAAAAACTGCCCCCCCCAAAATAACCATAGACTTCACATATTGAGACAAATTAATTTACTATAAATTACACAATTCAAATGTGTACGCGTACATTAAAAATTAAACTATCCTCAATAAAATAGCACCCCTTTTCTTCCTCTTACTGATGACTTAATCCGTTTTGTCCCCTCCAGCTCACTGTGAATATTGGGCCTCTATCATTTGCTTTTGTTCATGAAAAACTCCGTAACGACTTTCTAAATTTAACTTTTGAATGCCAAATGTAATAATTATAATTCTAGTCACACTGACTTAGTCATTATTGAAAGAACTATAAGGAAGGCAACACAGCCATGCTGACATCCATACTTTAAACTCAGGCACTTGTGCGGCACACCACGACACCACACATACGCACTTACACAGGCACACACGCATGCCCACACTCAAGCAGGAAGTGAAAATGGAGAAGTTTTACCAGCTGCCACCTTGCCTTCTGATGCCAACTAAGAATGAATTCTATATAAGTAAGTTTATTTATATGAATGTAGTCATTTTTAACAAGATACATTAGATCCAAGTATATCCATGCAATTATATATCTACACTCAGATTCACATATGAAAAATAAACATGTGCATATATACATTATGCACATTTATGTGTATATGTATGACAGAGATGCCAACTTACTCTCAGATGCCAACTGGAAACAAGTTTATAAATATATACTTATGCAGTCGTGTATCTTCATCAACAGATATGTTTATGAAGATAAACAGAAAACTACAGAGGAAGTTTCTGAAATGAGACGAAGTCCTTATGGCTTAGATACGTTTTTGAATCTGTTTTTGTAACTTTGGTCTTCCTGCACCTCTTTCTGCTACTCAATTTTATCTGCACTACTGAACGAAAGCAAGTGTTTAAAATGCTACCTAGGATCAAAGGTCACTGTGGTAAGGAAAAGATGGTGCTTCCTCCGGGTTTTTATAGTGACGTGCTCAGTCATAGGATAGCATTCCCGTGATGCTCTTTTGTGATATGGCTGCACACTGTGGTAAGATCAGTGCATATCCCTAGGTGGGGGGAGGGGGGATGGAGAAGATAAGCAGAGAAGTTTTTTAAATGACTTTTCTTTCCATTAAGATCTTTGAAGTCATGAAACTTAAACAAACAAACAAACACATAAGAAAAATTAGAAAAACCACCCCAGGGCAGTAATTGGAACATATTATCAAATATTTACCAGAAACTTAAAATTTCCTTCTTAGTTTTATTTTTGGATTAAAATAAGAGAGAGAGAGAGAGAGAGAGAGAGAGAGAGAGAGAGAGAAACTCTTTACAATCCTAGAGGTTACACAACACTAACATTCTGCCCAATTTTCCTTAGGCGCACCAGAAATTTACTCCAGGGGTGAGGCTAAGTTATTTGCAACCAAGCAGCTAGAAGGAACTCTTTCCATAGAATTCTGGGTTAACTTCAGGTTTCTGACTGCCCTCTACAAATTCAGACACACATCTCCTGACTGTCAGCTAACCAGGTCCGCCCTGTAGGAAGACCACTGTAAATTGAGGCTCAGCACATCAGCATGGGGGATTAGAAGCCCTCATCGGCTACCTCCAAGTTAGACAAATTTAAAGTCCCAGCTGGGGAATGGCACTCCTGATAAGATTACTATGACTTTCTGGATCTCAGTGATGCTTTCAGGGGATAGTTATCCTGAGTGACAGGAAGACCAGATTCCCTTGGAAGAAAACTGAGCAAGAGGTAATGAACAGACTTGAGTTGATCGCACTCTTTAAGGCAGCCTTCGCCACTCATGCAGGTGTAATCAGCCTGGCTTCAGTGAAGCCTGTGGAGAAATCTGCATGTACCCACCCTACCCTACTGTCCTTCTTCCTGGTATTGCTGTAAGGCATGGCACAAAGAATTCTGACAGAGGCCAGATAGAAAATGACCTTCAAACTTGAAAGAAGGGTGTGTGTTTATCTTTTAAGTAACGCTTCAAAGCAAAGGAATGACTGTCAACGAAAGGATGACAGAACGAATGTAAGCTCAAATACATTTTACATCTAACTAAAAAAAAGGCAATAAATATTGTCTGTGGTGAAATGGATTTCAGTATAAATTTTTTGCTGAGTAATGCAGAGCAAACAACAGAGCCTCCAAAAGGCAGAAGCCACAAGCTCTGCTCTGAGAATCCAAAAATGCTCCCCATGTTTTGACACCTGTCAAGTGAGTGTTGCTACCTTGGTGTCTCTGGGTCAAGCATGCATCTGCACATTCTCGTTACAAGTATGCGAAGCTTAAGGGAAATTCGCCTCCTGAAAGCTGTAAGTGGAGCACGTAAAATTGTACAAATTAGGGTGTAGAGTTTGGTCATTTATGTCAAGATACAGTACAGAAACGTGAGCGTAGCACTGTTTACCACAGCACATTTAAAACTTTTCAATGAAGTTAGATCTGAGGTTTCAAATGCCAAATGAAAGATAAACTTTGGCTTTGAAATTTACCTCAGAGTGTATAAATTTCTAAGTCAGGATAACGGAGATGGCATTAGAATTAAATGGAGAATGCTAAATAACTTGCTAGTATTTGTTTGCATTCAAAACAAGGATTCCCACAATTCACTTGGGCCTTCAAAATTTTACTGTGAAACAGAAGGGTCTAACCCAATGATTTCAGAGTTAGAATTTGAGAATAACATTATTCTTACGTTGATTAAAAAATAATTTTTCATGTTCTTAATGGCTTAAAGGGAACATAACACCGTCCAATCATTTTCTGATTCTCCTATGGTGATGGGAAAATGTTTTCCTCAATACAATTTCAGGGTATACAGAGCCAGTGAAGTCTCTTCTGAGCCCTTTGGGGATGTTGCTTTCCTGTGAAAGCCAGTACCTACCTCTTAGACTCAGTAGCACCTGGGGTCTTTAATTTTGAAATCCCATATCTAAACCTTTATATTAGTACTACAATTTAAAGACTTTAACGAATCTCTGAAAATCTGCAATAAAAATTACATAAATGGATAAGACAAAAGGCAATAGACTCCCACTTTTGTCCTTTAGCATTTGACTATGGCTTTTTATATAGCTTTAATAAAACCTCTCAACTTTAGCATTTCCTCTTTTAGTAAACAAAATCAAAAAGATTTCTGATAATGAAAATTCTTTTTTCCTATTTGATTTATAAGATAATATTAAATTGCCATTACATATGTTGAGGTTTTTCCTAGCAAACTTCAAAAACTGCTTGGAGATGTAAGATATATTTCATGTACAATACGTGGATATGAACATATATCTTAATATATATGTCTATATCTAAATTAAAACTCTTTGAATAGTTAATTACAATGTAAAGTGATACCCAGCAAAGGTAAGCATCTCCCCAGAGTTTAGCAAAAATATTTTTACACTTTCTTTTTAAATATTATACTGTAAAAAGTATAGTCTATTACTATACCCACTAGAAAGTATAGATAGAACATAATCAGTGTATAAGAAAACCAAATGTGGTTTGAGTAAAAATAAAAACACCTATAAATATATAAATAAGAGTATTTTACTTTCCAACATTTTCCTTTCTTTTCTTTTTGTTTGGTATTTTTAGGTAGGGTCTCACTATGTCCCAGTCTGACCTAAAACTCAAGATCCTCTTTCCTCAGCCCGTGGAATGCTGGAATTAAAGGCTTGTATTACTTCTCCAGATCTCTAGTTAAATTACAACTCCCCTCCTCTCTTCTTCAGGGCTATCAATATACCTGTGGTATATATATAATGTGTAGTACAGCAGATTAATTTCTCTCACAATCGACTCCTTGAGCACAT